CTCTCGCGCGCTGCGTCCTCACCCCACCGCGCTCGGTTCGCAACGCTGTACCAGCTGTCGAAAGGCCGCGGAAAGGCCACCAAGCGGACGTCGGGCGCGAGGCCCTCGTAGCGGCGATACCGACCGAAGAGGTTCAGCAGCGAGATGTGGTACTTTTCCTCGCCCTCGCAGCGGACGTAGAGCAAGTCACTGCCCGCCGCGGCCGGCGTCCGACACGGAGCTGTAGTGCACTGTACTCGGTGCCGGGACAGCTGTCTTAATCTCGCCGAAAATCGCGCTCGCCGCCGCCACGTGTACCACGGGTACACGTGGACTCCCCTGCCGCTCTACCGGACCTCCCCGTGGACACATGTAATCCCTCCGCAACCCAGAGGGCATATGGGGGCTGTACTTGGTCCCCTCGGGGTTACACCCGTTGTTTCCTAGTTATTCTAATTTACAGTATAATTTAGCTTCGCCATTACGGCGACGGGGGACTATATAGTCAACCCGATACTCAAAGTAAAGAGGCACGAAGCCTCGGGTCTCTTACCTTGGTTTCTGGATTCCAGGTTGTAGCCTCGACTCGGTACTGGCTCGCCCATACCGACCGAGCCATCTACACCCCTGGAATCCCAACTGCCTTCCCCGCACGCGTCGATCACCCCGCGCGAGACCTACGTCAACTACTGTGCTCTCCGTCCTGCTAGCTCTGTTTTTCTTTTAATTCCTCCCCCTTTTATTGCTGACTACCTTGCTACTTCTCTACCGCGCAAGCCGCGCCCGGATCCCGGTTCCGGTCATCCACCGGGTGGTCTCCCGAATTTCCTTACGCGTCCAAACGCGCGTCGCTCTGCCTACAGCCGCAACACGTGGCTGTAGTGCACGACATTTTGGTCTCCCGACCTAGAATCAGTCGATACTCTCGTGCATTCGAGTGTCCTCTTTCTTCCCTGACCTACTTCCCCTTTATATCTCTCCTACCTACGCTTTTCCCTCACGCACCGATCGTTAGGTGTATTCGCCATGGTGACCGGCTCCGAGTCGTCCCATGACACTCGTCCGAGAGACGTCCCAGCGCCCGTCGCGGCGTGGATCACGCGGAACCGCCGCGAAGGACTCCGTGAAGCCGAGAGGTTCTCTCTCAACTTAATCGAGGAGAAACTCAACTCGCACACCGCCAAGATACGCGAGATGTTGGACAGCCTTGTTGCTGGTAAGATCGCCGCTCAGGCAGAGGTAAAGTTCCAACAGGGACGTGATCGCCTCGCCGCACTAGAAAGCGTTCTAACTCGAGCGTGGCAGAAGGACATCGGGTCCACCGTCGACAAGACGCTCGTTCCTCTACGGGAGGAAGTGGATCGCCTGACGCAGGAAGTCAACGACCTCCGTCGGCGTAACCTCGCCCTGGAATCGGCGCAAACACGATGTGTCCCAGCTAGGCAAGACGAGTCGACCGCGCCGAAGCCAAGACCTAACCCGCAGTTACATGCGTCACAACCGTTGGACGAAAATCTACTGTTCGTCGACGTCACGAAATCGGCTCTCACGGCCGCCGGGATCCCGTTCCCCGATCCCCTGACGATGGAGGGACACCGAGATCCTACCCCGGACCTAGCGGCCGCCCGAGGCCCGTCACCAAGATCGTCTCGCGACAAGAAGGTCAAGACCGAAGGCCACCGTCACAAGTCCGGCCACGGAAGCCGACCTGAACCGGAGGATTTCTCCGGTTACTCGGGGGGATCCCCGCCCTCAGCTTCAGAATCCGACTCCGATTCGGACTCCGAAGCCGAGGCATTCACGGTACCACAACCGACCTTCGGCCCTAAGGCGAAGGGTGTCACGGTGTGGAAACCGACCAACCACCACTTCCGAGGCGCGTGTAATTATCGAGCTTACCGTCTCGTGAATACCGACCCCACCGTCGATGCAAAGGTGTACGCCACGACGCGTAAGCGCGTGCAATATCTCCTCGTCGTAATGGGAGAGTACAAGTTTAACGGGTCCGACCCGATCAAAGTCATCAGCTTTTTGGCTAGATGTAAGGAGAATTTCGACAACGCAGAAATGTCGGAGGCAATGGCTCTCATGGCCTTGCCGCATCTTCTCAACCCGCCGGCGAAGGAGGCGTATGAATCCCATCGAGGATATTTCCAACGCAATCAAGGGATTGCGTCGTGGCCAGCACCAGTGAACTGGTTGCTTCGTACGTATGCTACGAATATTCAGATCGAGCAAGCGCTCTCTGTGGTCTGGGATTTACGCCAAAAACCCGGCGAAGTGGAGACCGAGTATGCGACTCGTATGTTAACCGCCCTCGCGCGGTGTGGGGACATCCATTCCCCCTATGAACGCACTACCTTGTTCATAGAGGGCCTCCTTCCGGCGATCAAGCCGTTGGTGCTCCAAGCAAGGGAGAATCGCCCCCGATCCTCATTCGAAGACACGGTGGCCGAAGCCCGCGCTCAAGGGGCGGCCTACCGCGCGCAGACGGCTGGCGGAAGAAGACGCGTCGACTTCGCGAGGCCCGCCGCCAAGCAAGTGTTGGCGATGGCAGACAGTATGCCCTCATCGACAACCGCGGGTCTGACCCCGAGCTATCATACCGGCCTGGACGCCGAGAACTTCCTCGCCAATGACGAGCCATTCGCCGCCGCAGCTGGGTCACCCTCAATTCCCAAGGAGGGATCCTCATTCAACGACAAGGATTCGTTGTTCTACGGAGAGCGGCGGCCGACCTACAAGGACCCGCCCCGGCTTCCGAGACCGCGCGAGAAGTCTCCCGGTTGGGCCGGTCGAGAGGGAACCCGGGACATGAAGACACCTTCCCCGCAAATCATCTGCTACACCTGCTACAAAGTCGGGGATCATATTAACCCCGACTGTAGCATGAAGGTGCGCGATGTGTCGCTCGTCCCTCATAATTTTGAGAAGCTCACGGCGGCACAGAAGGCCCGTGTTCCGGCAGACGCGTACTTGCGCGCTGTAGCCCTCCTCAGTTTCGAGGCGAATCGGCTGATCGCACCCGTCTTGCTGTCGAATTCTCCCTCCGTTTCGGAGAAGTCAAGCCCCCCGAGCGGCAAGACCGCACCTCCGAAAAACTAGGAGACCCACAGCTGAAAATCGCTGACATTCCATCGCGGGACACCGCGTCACCTCCGCCCCCGAAACCGGCGATCCGCGTCTTAGGGCGGAGACACGCTCGCCAAGCGAGCCCCTCCAACCCCGATCCGACGGGCATGGGGACGCTCCGCCGACCGTGGCGTCTTAACAACGGGAGGCGCTCCCCCGATGACAAGGCCGTCGAGCCAGTTTGTAAACTGTCTCGACGTAATTACAAGGTCTACGACGACCTTGGGCTCACCACCTCCATCATGGTGCGTCAACTCACCATCCTGGACACGGGTGCCGGCTCCAATTTTGTCCGCGCAGACACCCTGCCCAAAGGATGGGAGAGCTTAATCGAACCGGGGGAAGTCCCGACGATCGCCGACGCGAATGGGCGGCCGTTACGAACAAGCGGGTCCATTACACTCGTTGTTCGACTAGCAACTCGCACCATGAAATGCAAGTTCATCGTGTGTGAGCGCCTGGCAGCCCCTGTCATCCTGGGCTGTGACTTTAACGACAAGTTCGTCGAGGCCATCTATCCACGTCGGAAGGTGGTCGAGCTCGATGATGGGATGAAAGTCCCCATCGTCAGAAAACCGGCAACTCGTCGAGCCGAAGCACCTCCGCTCCCCTCGGAGCAGGAGTATGAAAACGACCCGGGTCGAGTTTCCCCCAAACTCAAGGTTTCTCGTCCGGTTACCATACCACCCGGGACGCAAGCCTGGGTGCATGTGACCAACGGTCGTACGGGTCTTTCCGTATTGGAACCCAACTCGCAGTTATATGCGAAACACCGCATCTCCCTGTCGAATGGGGTCGCGCACATCACCGCACTTCGAGAGTTCAAGGTCTTGGTAGCCAACTTCGCCTCAGCCCCCAAGCGCCTCTCGAAGAACCAGGTGCTGGGGTACGTTACCCCTCATCCGCGTGCCATGATACGCACCGCGATGCCTCTCGACGCCCTCCTAGCGGCGGAATTTACAGAAGGGGACAAGCCCCAATCTGAGAAGGGGGAGAAGCTCCCCCCGGCTTCGTCGAAGGAAGAACCCCAAGAATTTGATGCTGTCTCCCTCCAACATCTGCCGTCGCATGTCCGCACGCGAGTACGTGACATGCTTACGCCGTACTCCAGTATGTGGAGTGGCGATCTCGGGGAAGTCCGGGCTACGCAGCACCGGATCGAACTCAACCCCGGCTCGAAGCCGTTTCGATGTCAGCCATATCGGGCTGGACCTCGGTCTCGACAAGCCGAACAAGACACCGTGGATGGGATGATCTCAAGCGGGGTCATCTCCCGATCACAATCAGAATGGGCATCCCCGGTGGTTCTCATTCCCAAACCGGATGGATCCCTCCGTTTCTGCGTCGATTACAGACGTTTGGTCGCGATGACAGTACGGGACACTTACCCGATTCCTCGCATGGACGAGTGTCTGGACTCGCTCGGCGAAGCGAACGTGTTCACAACTCTAGATTGTAACTCGGGTTATTGGCAAATCCCCGTTGCGGAAGAAGACCGTCCGAAAACCACGTTCACATGTCATGCCGGTACTTATCAATTTAACCGAATGCCGTTCGGGCTAATGAACGCGCCCGCCACATTCTAACGGATGTTGGACATTCTCCTCTCTGGATACCGATGGAAGAGCTGCCTCATCTATCTAGATGACATTATCATATTCTCGAAGGATTATGAAACTCATCTCAAGGATGTCAAGGTTATTCTCTCTGCGTTACAACAAGAGGGGTTATCACTGAAATTGAACAAGTGTAAATTCTTTCAGGACTCCGTGGAGTACCTGGGCCACATCATTCGACCCGGGGAACTTCATGTCCACCCGAAGAATGGCTCGGCTTTGGCCGAGGCCAAGCAGCCACGAACCCAGACCGAGCTCCGCTCGTTTCTGGGTATGTGTAACGTGTACCGACGTTTCGTCGACCACTTCGCCAAGATTGCGGCGCCGTTGACGTCCATGCTCAAGAAGGGGGAGCCCGATCGGCTCCCCGAACTGGACGAAGACCGCAGGTCTGCCTTCGAAGCTCTGAAGACTTGCCTGATTTCCCCACCGGTATGGCGACTACCGCGTCTGGGGCTACCGTATTCCCTCGACACGGATGCATCCGACGCCCAACTCGGTTGCACGTTATTACAGCAACACGAGGATGGTAACAGATACCCTGTCGGGTTCTGGTCGCGAACGCTCTCGTCGGCGGAAAGGAATTACTCCACGACGGAGAAAGAATGTTTGGCCATCGTGTGGGCCATTCAGACGCTGCGTCCTTACTTGGAACGCGAGCGATTTACGGTCAACACCGACCATCATTCCCTTCGCTGGTTAATGAATCTTGCCGACGCAAGCGGGCGTTTAGCACGGTGGCGCTTGCGCCTAGCCGAGTTTGACTTCGACGTCACGTACGTGAAGGGCATCAAGAATTGTCTCGCCGACGCCCTCAGTAGAATACAGTCTATAGGGGGCACAACCGTCCCCATCGACGAAGAAATACCGTGCTTCTCCGTTTTGGAGTTTCACGAAGACAAGCCGGAAGTGGAATCCGAGGAGTGGGACGACGACATTCACGACGGATGCTTCGCCCCCGCCCCCCCGGCTTCCAAGGCCGCAATTACACACGACGAGATTGTACTCGCTCAACACTCCGACCCGTTCTGTAAGGAGATCGCTTCCCATCTTAAGAAGGGGGAGGGTGTGGCCCAAATTCGCCTCTCCAAGTTCTTCATGAACAAGGAAGGGGTACTTTGCCGGAAAGCGCACCTTGACGGTGTTGAGCAAATCGTCGTACCAACCACTCTGCGCGAGCGAGTGTTGTATATGGCGTATTACCCCGCCGCCTCGGGACACCACGGAGGCAGGGGTCTGTTCTACACATTAAGACAACGGTACTACTGGCCGAGTATGTCCGTCGACGCATACGCCACAGTGAGAAGGTGCTCCGACTGTGCGAAAGCTCGCATTAAATTGCGTAAGCACAACGCGAAGTTGAAAACGTTCCCTCCGATGGGACCCTTGGAGTTTATCGCTATTGACATCCTAGGCGAACTCCCCAGAACACCAAGAGGCAGTCGATACCTCTTGGTAATATCTGATCGTTACTCAAAGCTGACCCGAACGGTGCCGCTTAAGAGAATTACCGCCGAGACCGTTGCTCAGGCGTTCGTCACACACTGAGTCTTCGTATACGGAGCCCCAGTGAAGCTACTCTCCGACAATGGGAGTCAATTCACGTCAAGGCTCTTCCTTGCCGTGTGCAAAATCCTCCGCGTCGAAAGCGTGTTCACCACAGCTTATCACCCACAAGCTAATGGACAGGTGGAGAGGTTCAAACGCACCCTGGTGTTCTCTCTACAGCACTACCTAGCCGACAACCAACGCGATTGGGACCAGCTCAGGGACGCGCTAACCTACGGTTACAATTGTACCGTGAATCGCATGATCGGTATGAAGCCGTTTGATCTTGTGTTATCCCGGACACCGGCGCCTCTTTCCATCCAACAGACCCCTACACTGTAACAGGATGTCTCGCGGACGCAATATAAGCTCCGTTTCTTAACGTGGTTACGCGGGATAATGTCAACAGCCCGCGACACGCTGCTCGCCGGTCAAGACCGCTATAAACGCGATTTCGACAAGAGATTGCGGACGCCGACACCGCACTACTCAATTGGTGATCAAGTTCTCATCGAGCGAGAGACGTCCCTGCGAGTGGATGAGAAGACGGATAAGGACCGGGTCAATAACAAGTTAGCCCCTCGGACGGAAGGGCCATTCCCGGTGGTGGCCCTAGACGAGCATACAGTGACCATTGTCCGGACTACAGGCCTGAAGGACCGAGTCTCGAGAGACCGCATTGTGAAAGCCCCTAGTCTCCGGACCGAGCTCATGGACATAACACCCTCTGCGGTGACCACCCCCGTCGACGCTGAGACTGAACCTACGCCCCCTCCGGCGATCGAAAGTGACGCCGCTACTTCTCTTCCCATCGGGGTCACGACCCCTCCCAGAGAGGACGAGTTCGACCCAGATGAACCGGGGATCAACCCGCCCGCTCCAACGGACACGGACGATCGCCCTACTTGCGATGGGAACGAGATTGAGAACGCGGCGCGCAACGCGACGGTAACCCGACCTTTGGGGTCAAAACTCGTTACCTGGAACGCAGGAAACGCCCCTACATCGGGACTAATAGACGCCCTCCGAGGCGACTCGCACCCCCGGATCATATCGAAATTGACTCTGAGGTCTGGCTCTACGGCTGGACCAACCGGGACGCAGACGACATCTCCTCTTCCCCGGCTCCGGCCTCGCGACCAACGTACCGGGAAGACGAGACCGAAATCACCCCGACCTCGACAAGCGGATCCCGCCCCGAGAGGCGACAAGTCGCCGAGCGGGCAAACGCGTACCTTAACCGCGAAGCCGCCTGACACGTGGAGACGGGGCCAAAAAAAATTCAAAGGAAAATCCGCCCGTCCGAGCCCTCCGCACGGGCGGTGGTCACGGACCTCACGCGCGGCCCCACGGAAACGCCACCGAGTACAAAAGGGACAGCCGGGGAGCACATCGCGAACTTAGCGTCTATGTGTACCTTCGGTTACCCTCCCCTCATTGCCTCGGTACGTTCTCCTCCCCCGCCACTCGCGGTTGAGGCCTCCCCTCAACGCGCGCCAAGCACGCCCCCTGAGGCGACGAATTGGCCCCCCTTGACGGACGAAGACCCCAAAACCTACGTGGTTGAGGCCCTCACCGGACATAAACCGGGAACGGACGGAATGCCGCTTTTCCGAGTCCGGTGGTATGGGTACACGGCCGAAGACGACACCTGGGAACCGGCGAACTACATAGATTATAACACCGTCCTACGATTCTGCCGTCGCAGGAGCCTCCCTGTACCAACCGCCAAGTTATGGTCTGATCCGGGTAGCGTAGGGATCGACAACTAACCCCCCGCTGGCCCTCGACCTACGCCGTCTCGTATCTCTCGTACGTCGACGGACCGAGGGATCGTCGGCTAAATCGGCGGACGTCCTTGACGCCGGGGACACCCCCCTACACGCCGCGCCACGGGAAGGGGTTACCCTCGCAGGTCGCCTATTCCCCGACCTTCCTCAGCTTCCAGCTGCAATCTTCCCCACAGAGGGAAAATACACCGATCCAAGGTGAGCAGCCGACCCCTCGACAAATCGGCTAAACCGTCCCGCAAAACGCGCGGTCGCTTACGGAGGAGATCCCTCGCGTCACCGCACGCCAGGGCCAACATCTACGGAACCCACGCATGGACCGCCCAGGCCTTTCCGATCACCACGTTCAGATGCACCTCTCCTTCGTTCTTCGCATCACGTCCCTCCCCGAGTCCTGACCCTTCGGCCTCCAAAGGGAAACGATAGAATCGATGGGGTTTCCTCCCCGCCGTGACGCCGCGATCCGTGACCCTGGCTAAGTTTTTGGCCATGGAATCACGCTTGCCTCGCCCCGCGTTCGGTATTATCTATCTAACCCTCTCCTCTCCGGAGCCAACCGCCGATCGGAAGGTCGTCTACCCGCTATCTGCTGACTGACTCGTTACTTCCCGAGCCACGCCTCGCCTCCTACGCGGTGACCCCGCGCCTCAGGGAACCCTGCCCCCGGACGTGTCCCTGGCGGTTACGGCCCCCTCAACCCAAGGGAGGGGCCGCCGCCAGCTCTACAACCACCACGGAGTGGCTCCGCCCCGCTCCCGATCGCGGCTCCCCCCGCGACGTTGCGCGCTGTACCGCGCTGGAATACGGCCCGACGGAACGGCCGCTAGAGACGTCCGAAGCACAGTGGGGGCGACCAACTCATCACGTTGTGTTGTCCCCCCCTTCTTTTCTCTCAACCGACCTTCCCTCGCCGCTCCCCTCGACCCGACGTGCTCGCGTAAGATGATGGATAGGAGAAGAGGTCCCGTTTTATTTCTACCGTAATGCCTCTTCCCTTCCTCTACTCGCGTGCTACGCGCTACCCCGGGGGGCCTCGTCCTGAGGACGCCCGCCCGCCATTACTACGACATTCCATAGTCGGCCAGGTCGCCCTCTACTCCTGCAACCGGAGCAACCGGGGCATCCGAGGGAATCGACCCTCCGTCAGAGTCGAGGGTAGCTCCCTCGAACGCCGCCGCTACCGAAGTCCCCGCCACTCCCAAGGCGACATCCATCGCCACCGCGCTGTCCGTCTCAGGTGCGGACGACTCCGTGCTCGCCGCCGCCTTGAGGCGTATCACCCCCGCCACAAATTCGGCGTTGTGTACTAATTTTGTTAACTCGTCTTCAGAGACGCCCAGCTCGGCAAATAATCTACGCCATGGGGTCGACGCCGCCTCGGGCGATGTTGACCCGTCTCGCGGGACTTCCACGGGAACTCCCCTGCGGCCCGGTACTTCCGCCGGTGCCGACCCGACCGGAGTCCCTCCCGAGCTCAGACCGCCTTCGAGGGCGTGGGGCTCATCAATCGTCGGTGGCACAGGATCTGTACCCCCCTGCATCACCTCGGGCTGCAGACTGGCAAAGGTCACCGGGTCGAAACGGATCCAATTTCCGGACCCCGGCCCTCCCGCATCTTCACGCCTTCCCGGCGACGCGTTCGATCGATCCGTACGGTCGTAATGATGCCCTTGACCGTACGGCACGCGCGACCATTCCACCTTGTCGTGGACCTCCAGCAACCTTCTCAGCTGAGCGGATACCCAGGGTCCGCCTAACACCTCATCCAAGTTTAACTTGTGTAGCCAGTCAATTATCATGGTCGGTAACACGTATAGTCGCCCATCTAAGGACGACCATATGAACCGTTTCGCAACAATAGCGATCTACTCGCTCAGAAAAATCATCCAGCGAGACGAACACGGCGAGTCATTGAGACTCAAGCCAAAATACACCAAACAAGGTGGAATCTCCGCAAGGAAGTCGGCCGGGACTTCGTATTGCGCGAACCAATGCGGTATCTGCGGGTACCGTTCATATCGGGATCGAGGTTGAAAAGTTGTCGCCTCGATCCACTCATACGCCACAAAAATACCAAGGGCGTTTCTCATCCGACGCTCAAACTTGAGCTTGTCGTAATAACCCGGGTTCCTTTCCCGTTCCACGTACTCCTCGAAACGAGAAGGCAGAATGGGCTTGTCCTACGCTCGGTACTCAACAGCTGGCTCCTCAACTCGGTCCGGCAAGTTGTCTAATATACGCCTTAAATTGGCGACGTACCCTCGGTCCCCCTCGGTGCGGTACGCCCATGTGTCGAAGTCCCACTCGGCGGGGATCGGACAGTTACACGGTGTTCGAGCCAACCACCGTACCAAGGTCGCCATATACTTTTGGCGGCGTCCACGCCCCACGCGGCGATACTTTGCCCAGACGTGCTCATCCTCCACCGCGAGGCGGAAGGAAAAATCACGAGACCACACAGCCCTCAAGCTGAGACCACCGGGGAGCGCCCCAGTCACGTCCGCGTATGAACGGATTAGTTGGCTGTCATGCAGGCCCGCGGCCGTAAGAAAAGGGGCTCGCTCGAACGCCAGTGGGTCGTCGACCATGTTCTTGCCGCGCAGATCCCGAGGCGCCGGCCATCCGTTCATGCACGCTCTGCCTGTCTCCCCCGGTTCCCCATACGGGTTGTGGAACCGTTCCATCACTCGTCTTATGGGACAACGAACCACGTCTCCCCGCTGACCGAAGCGCTTGCCGATCGCCGCTGTAGCGGCGTCGTGGAACCCGAGACGGCACACAAGGGGAAGGAAGGGGCTCGAAGAATGTAGAAAAAGGGGAATTCGAAGCGACAGGGAGGCTCCAGAGCTGGGTCGGTTTGGAACTTCAAGCTCGCGGAAACGGAAGATAGGGGAAAACGGACCGACTCTGCGACGCTTGCCGGTCCACCCCGCCACCCACGTCCCCTCTCTTCCTACCGCGGTTGCCACGTCAGCGCCGCTGCCTCAGTTGACGGGCATTTCTACCCCACATACACACGAGGACGCGTGTTTTTCTAAGAAGGGGGATCTGTAGTGCACTGTACTCGGTGCCGGGACAGCTGTCTTAATCTCGCCGAAAATCGCGCTCGCCGCCGCCACGTGTACCACGGGTACACGTGGACTCCCCTGCCGCTCTACCGGACCTCCCCGTGGACACATGTAATCCCTCCGCAACCCAGAGGGCATATGGGGGCTGTACTTGGTCCCCTCGGGGTTACACCCGTTGTTTCCTAGTTATTCTAATTTACAGTATAATTTAGCTTCGCCATTACGGCGACGGGGGACTATATAGTCAACCCGATACTCAAAGTAAAGAGGCACGAAGCCTCGGGTCTCTTACCTTGGTTTCTGGATTCCAGGTTGTAGCCTCGACTCGGTACTGGCTCGCCCATACCGACCGAGCCATCTACACCCCTGGAATCCCAACTGCCTTCCCCGCACGCGTCGATCACCCCGCGCGAGACCTACGTCAACTACTGTGCTCTCCGTCCTGCTAGCTCTGTTTTTCTCTTAATTCCTCCCCCTTTTATTG